AAAATATTTATGTTCGTCACCGCCATGTCGACTGTATTGAACCACTCATTATATGAGTCTACCAGTCTATACAGGGGTGAACGTTTACCAGCATTAGTACGACACGGAGGAGTTGCAAACAATCGACAAAGAGTGCGAGCATGGGCTCTGGTGGGTACTCTGTATCGTATCTTATCAACTATAGGAATACAATCGTATCTGTTATGGCATAGGTCATACAACAAGGCTGCGCTGAGATATAAACGTCTATGTTTTAGACTAAGAAGTTGGTACCTATCGAGTAGTTGTTCGTAAGCTAAGCGACCACGAGAGCATTTGAAGTGCATACAGCGTAGAAACTTTTCTTGGACACGCTCGATTACGTCAACGTATTTATTATAATAAGGACTCCATATGGGCACAGCATATTCAAGTTGTGACCGTACTAAAGATTTATATAAGTACACATATGTGGAAACCTTTGCAAAGTTTTTACTAATACGCATTACGAATCCATACGTTTTAAAAGCATTATTAACAATATTGTATATATGTAGATCTAAGTGCATTTTAGTGTCTAGAGTTATCCCAAGGTCTCTTATTGAGTTAACTGATTCCAACTGCATACCAGATAAACTGTAGTTGTAACAACTATTTTTTACTTTTTTTGTAAAACTAATGACTTTACACTTGTTGATACTTAAGTTTAGTTTATTTTCATAACAATAATCTGAGAAGCGATCAAGATCAGCCTGAAACTTTAAATGATCATCAAAATTTTCAATTACGTGGTATATTTTTAAGTCATCCGCATACAAAAGAAAATAGCAAAATTGGAAACATCTATTTATGTCATTTATAAATATTATGAACAGTAATGGGCCAAGGATAGAGCCTTGAGGAACGCCTGAGCTTACTGATGTGTAATCTGATTCAAATCCGTTAATTACAACTTTTTGTGTGCGGTTGGTTATATAAGATTTGAACCATCTCCATAGGTCACCACGAATTCCATTGTATGCTAACTTGTCTAACAGTATCCTGTGATCAACCCTGTCAAAAGCCTTCCGGAAGTCAGTATACACACTGTCTACTTGTTTGTTTGCATCAATACTTTCAAAAATATGCGATACATATATCAATAGGTTTGTACAAGTTGATCTTCGTTTTTCAAATCCATGTTGCTGTTCGATAATAATTGCATGTAGTGACGGATAAATACTGTTGTGTACAAGCCGCTCAAAGAGCTTCGACAGAGCACACAAAATGGATATAGGACGGTAGTTTTCAACATTAGTTCTATCACCTCCCTTAAAAATCGGAACAACGCGAGCCGCCTTCCATATAGTCGGAAATGTCCCTTCCTTTAAACATTTATTAAAAATAAGCTGAATAGGATGACATAGTGTGCTGGCAGTTGCTTTTAGGAAGAATGGTGAGATATTGTCAACACCAGGACCTTTAGATGCGTCTAAATTACGTAAACCCTTAAGTACTTCTTTGGTAGTGAAGATTATGTTGCTAAGAAAAATATTAGAAGCATTATTTGTATCTGAAAGATGGTTTATGTCATAATCCTTATCTAGATTTGAGGGTTCAAATACAGACGCGAAGAATGATGAAAATAGGTTACAGATATCGTCCGATTTATCAGCAATCCTATTTCCATATGATACTCTACTTGGGATTTCAGCAGTGGTTTTATTATTATTAACATAGGTCCAAAAATACTTTATGTTATCATGTATGCCATTCTCGACAAACTCCATATATGTTTTATAGGTCCGTTTTACCATCAATTTGAATCGGGCTCTATACATAGAAAACAATTCATAATCACTTTTGTTATTGAATTTCTTCCACCTTATCCATGCATTGTTCTTGTTTTTAAAGATGTGAATAAGTGGTTTTGTGAACCATGGAGGAAATTGTGATGATTTGAGTGTTCTTGTAGGTATATGTGTTTTAATTAGGTCATAAACAGTTTCATAAAATGCACTAACTGCTCCCTCCGCATCGCTTCCCGATAACAAATCATTCCAGTTTATGTTAGCGATGTCACAATTTAAGGCGTCATAATTACCTTTTTTAAAGTTAAAAGTAACTCTAGGTTTAACTGTAAATGACGTGGTAATATTATTTATAGCAAGAAGCGCAAAAAATGGGGGATGATTAACATCAGGCGGCACCAATGGAATGGGCGCCCGTGATGTAGATGAGCTTTCAATATTAGTTATAAATAAGTCCAATAAACGATTTTTAAAGTTTTTATACTTGTTTATTTGATAGCATTTAAACGTGGATATGAAATTAATTAAAAGCTTATCAGTTATACTGGAGTTATCAGTAAGAATAGGTTCCAAGTAATCTCCAACACCGCGCCACTGCAAACTAGGTAGGTTGTAATCGCCTACTATTATAAAGTTATCGATATTGTTATGTTGCAATATACTAGATAAATATGTAAAATGCTCCATGTATACATCGGAACTCATCTTTGGTGGTATATAGACAGCACTGAGAACACAGCAGTAACCACTTGAGCGAATCTCAATCAATACATGATCTATACGGGGGTCAATACTGTCTGTTAGCATGTCCGCACTTGACGTAGCACCGGGAGTGTGTTGACATTGTGTAACACACAACTCCCGGCGCACCGCCACGAGAACTCCACCACCATCTCGTCGTCCAGAGTTAGTACAATCCCTGTCATGGCGAAATACACGATAGCGCGCATCGATAAATTCATTGTCTGTTATATTCCTATGTAGCCAAGTCTCGGTAAGGATTATGATGTCATAATCATGAGCCATTATATTCATATAAAGCGTATGTAGTTTCGAGCGTATACCACGACAGTTTTGATACATGACTGATAAAACTAGCTTAGCCATTATGTACAATTTAAGTCCAAATAAGTATTGATTAAGGTACCTAGGCGATTAAGATTATACCGTTTGTCATTAAAATTAATTAATTTAATTAAATATATACTGTAATTCGATATGGGACATATCATGCAATATCTCACGACCGGTGTCCTCTCAGATTCACACATAAACCCGTTAGCTTTCAGATATGAGAACAAAGAAACATCACATAGAATCATCATGTCAAAATTTAATAGGATGCAACGCGGAAACGGTAATTTTGATTTATAGTTAAATTTATTACCAAATAAATTATCAAATAATACACGTGTATGTACCAACCTATGCCACACAGGGTGCCGACTGATCTTGGAATTAACAAACATAGAATAATTAAACAAAATAACTTTACAACGCCTTAGGTTTGTTATGTTTTTATTCATATAATCGTAATTTTTAATAGGTTTATAAATAATATTAATATTCGGCCTCAAGATACACATAACATGCAACCAATTATTACATAATACATTCTCCAAATTAGTATATACCACATAATGAATAAATTTAATATATAATATTATTATAACATTTGGTTTATATAAATAAGTTTTATTTCCATAACTGTACTTTATGCCATATGCTGTACTCTTAAAAAAGAATAACAAATATCCGTCGATTATATTTCTTACAGTAACATGTATTTTTTTATTTACGTTATACCCACCAGAAAAAAATGCCGAATCATAAAAATTTATATAAGCGTCTATTATGAGATGAATCCATTTATAATAAAATTTATTTAATTTTTGAAATGTCAGAGTCTGTCCTAATGGTGAATGCTGCCGAGGTGTCCGACTTCCGCACCAGTATGTTACCGTGCTTGACCCAAACATATCTATAACCTTGTTTCTTTGCTGTCTCCCTGCATTGTCGAAACAATATTTTATTGTTAAGGGTTAGATGTTCATTGACATATATTGTAGTTGGAGTTCCGTTAATTAAGAATTTTGTTGAGTCGATTCCCTTTATAGCACGGCAGGCAGAAATTACATTATCACGAAGGAATCTAGTAAAAAATTTCACTATTATATTTTTTGGTCGTTGATTATTGGGATCGGCGTGTGGTACACGATGAGCTGATACAATATCTTTAGCTTGTATTGGTTGCTTAATGATTTCCCCCAGGCGTTCCACGATATTCACTAGGTTTTCTCCACGTCGTTCTGGCAGATTGGATATTTCAATATTACATTGCCTTAATTGTTGTTCTACTTTTGTTATATGATTTTGCAGTAAGTGAATCTGATTATCGAGGCTAACTGTGCGAGAATATCTCTCTTCCATTGTTTTTAATCGGGCTTCGACTTCATTTTGGCGTTCAGAGTAAAAAGACAGGAATTTTTCCATTTCGCTTATTTTATTATTTGTTTCCAGGAGTGACTTATTTATCGCAATGTTATCTGCGTTTAATTTTGTCACATTGCTGTTAATTTCGCTCAGTAATGACGAAATTTTTATCATTTCGCGGGTAAGCGCAGTATTTACTGCGGTTGTGATACTGGCTGAGAGTTTAGTTTCTAAAATCGACAACTGCTTGTTGAACTTTTCCTCAAATAAAATTAAATCGTCACTATCTCGTTTGCGCTTTCGCAAAAGAAGATGAGATTCATTTTCCAGGCTCACTGATATTGGTATGCTAGTGTCTGATGAAAATTTATTTGGTGGTGTACGATCCAAGGCCATGCTGTATGAGTTTCTTCTATGAGTGCAACAGGGACGAAAAATATGAGTCTATCTCTCAGCTGGAGGAGGTGAAGTGCGGCCCTCCGCTGTCACGTCCGTGAGATGCGGGGCGGAACAGGGACAACGCTATGTTTATGCAGTGTATATGATGTGGTTTCACTCAAACTATTCCTATGATTTTCACCGTTATACACTCAAATATGACACTATTTTACTTGGAACTTGTTAGTTAAGAGAAAAAGAATTCTTTGGCAATAATTGTGTACAAAATTGAAAAAAACATTGACACTTCCACTCTCATTGACTCTCAACGACGGAATCGATACTATTTGTGTTAACACTGAGTTAATAACTGAATTAATCTGTGCTTCTTATCTCTATGGTTTCACCTGTGAAAACTATATAGTCTGTGGTTTCACCCAAGAAGTTAAGAAAGCAAGCAATGTTTTGTATGCTTAAAATAAAAATATAGGGATATATAAATATAGTATGTATACCTGATTACTTATATAGCATATAATAAAAATAAATTTTTTTAGAAAATCGTTGATTTAAACAATATCAATATGATTTAATGGTATATCCACAGGTTGGACATTAACTTTTTTATTAACTGTTTTTAAACATCGAATCGAATCGTAAAAGATGAATCGTAAAAGGAATGTCAGCTTTATAAGACCGGATGACCCAGAATTTTTAAAAGTTCTCAAGAAACAAGCTGGATATGATGTCAAGAATCATAAATTTGATGAACTCCAAAACGCTGAAGAGGACTTTGTGAATGATGAAGAAAGTGAGAAACCACAAGTAGTAGTTCTTAATAAAGGTGACCTTACTGCAGAAGAAGCAGAGGTAGAACAAAAAAAAATTGACAATGCTGAATCTGAAATAAAAGCAGATTTAACTCGCAGAGTTATATTCAAATCTAAATCAAGTACACAACCACAAACCACTAAAAGGAAAAAGAAAGAATCTTTCACAAAAGACAGTAAAAAGATTCGTCCACTGTTGTCTTTTAATGATGAAGATGAAGATGATTAATTCTAATGTTAAATATGTGTGCAGACTGGTTTATTGAAGAATGTTCCATTTGATAGTTCAGATTCATTCACTAATGTAATAAATACAATAAACAACATAGCTACCAAAACAACAAGTACATTATAGGCTATAAAATGTCAAATTAGAATAAACTAGATGAAATAAGATGATTTATGAAAAATAAAGACATATTTATAATAATGAAAATTCTGTTTTTTAACATAGCGCAGAATGGTTTTATTGATTTTTTTACAATTGAGAATAGTGATGAGATTTTATATTTTTAGATGTTAAAGGTGTAAATAATAAGTTGGTCTGATTCAGTGGTGTAGTATGTATTATTTTTATGTTAATCAGCTTTGCCTCCCAAATTTTGAAATGAATTAATTGACAAATGAAAATCAGATATTGACACCACATACATTGCTCAGATTCCAATAACTTAAGCTCGCTGGAATTCTGAAATAACAAAGGTACTACTTTAACACCCACTTAACCGGATTTGAACCCAAGACCTCAAAGATGGCAACACTTTGGAACTGGCATATGCCATTTAGATTTTCGGATTATTTATATGATGAAATATCAATGAAAATGTAGAAGAGATAGTTGAAATTACTGTTTTCAGCTCAGCTTGGCCACTTAATGTTTTGGTATTTCATCTCTGGTGTTGTAGCCAGTTTAACCTGAAGTGTCAATCTTAAAGTCCCTTGACTATTACCACCACCACATATCAATTCGTCATCTCTAAAATTACTTAAGCGACTGTGTCTATATAAAGTAGGTCAATCTGAGTAATTTAAGAAAGTGGAACATTACAAAATGAATAAAGTGGTTAGGTAATAGACAACATTTGTTTATAAACAAAGGTGATGAAACATTTTGTTGTTAATTTATAAACACACGATAAACAGTTTGTTAACATATGTTGCCTGATGAATACCTGGCTTATTTTAAACAAATAGCAACATTTCAGGGTTCCACAATTTACAACATGGTGTGAACTTCTTTTACAATCTATTGGAGATCATTCAAGATTGGCACTAAATGTCATGTTTAAGTTAAGCTGACTAAGGTTGACTTATATTACTGGATCTATTAATATGGCAATATGATTTATTTGTCCTTGCAACCAACCAAGCCATAATTCTTACACAATTTACATTTACTGCCTTTTACAATACTCAATGTTGGTTCGGATTAGATAAATTAATATAAGAATCTGATCATTTATTGGATAATTTTAGATAACAGACCCATCTTTGTTTTGATAATAAGTTCTCATATTATTACAACTTAATCTTCTAAACAAGTCTTCTTTTTTACTTTGCCTCTTGAACCATTTGAGTTGTGGGTCATAAGATTTCTTTGGGAAGAAAGGGAGATATCAGGATCATTTTCATATTCTAGTAATTTACGTAATAGAAATTTACGTTCTTCCTTTACAATGAAAATGTTTTCTTGAATTTTTGCAATTTCATCACACAAAGCAGCATTTTCCTGAAAAATTCAGATTTAGACAACTTAGATGCTCTAATCCAAGGGTTCTCACACTTATGTTGTCTACTGCCCACTATGAGAATAAAAAAAAATCTAAACAAGATTTTAAAACATATTGATTCATGGAGACTACATTTCCAAAATCTATCGAAATTATGTGTTAGTTATTCATATACTGCATATGATATATACTTTTAGGATATTGTTTAGATGTAAATAATCTCAAAATATAACTTGTAATATTTTATTATTTTAGTGATATAATTATCACAACTATCACCATATACAAATATGTTTTAGCAAGAGATACATAGATGTACGTAATAATTAATTGGACGATACTAATTTCAAAATAGGCACTTCATTTAAAATAGGTTACAGAATCTTTAATCGAGTAAATACATCTGTCGCAAAACGTGAAAACTAATTTGAAATATTTTTTCGAAGATACTTACTAGAAGCAAGCTTTTAATCCTTATTTTTACGAATTTATACTTCCTGCGATAGCGCTTATTTTGTTTTTCATTTTGATTATTACTCATAATTTGCATTTGTATGGTAAGAAAATCCTTTAAGTCGTACAAATTAACAATTTATTTAACGTTATTTATGTCACAGATTATATAGTTTTATTTATGTGGCTCAATGGGCTCATCTATACTGTATACATGCATCCACAGACTTAGTAGGTATCAGACGACCAACTTCCTAACAAAAAATTTCTTCGTAGAACCAGTGTTACCAGGTCATTTTTTTGCCTTACCCCAGACTTTGTCTCGGTTTACCCTAGATTAAGCATATTTTTGAAAAAATACCCTAAACAAATTCCTATAAAAACCTTTAGAGAGCTAGTTGACCTCCGGACTAACAACTCGCTTTTTATAGGCGATTAAAATTGTTTTCTTGCATTGCAAATTTCAAAGATTACATGATTATATTTTATTTTAACCCCCCCCCCCCGTTGGTGATAAATGGTAAGGTTTAAGATTATAATCCCCCTCCCTCCATCCAAATCACGTTTATTTTAAGTACCTACAAAAAATCTTAATTTTTGACGCCGCTTTTCGGTTCAGTAATCGTTGCGTGTTAAAAACTTCGTGTTTCGATTGAGGTTCAGCTACAGTTCAGTTGAAAATATTTAGCGCGATCGGGCTCACTCGTTGATGCCATTTTTCACAACTATAGAGTAAGTAAGAAACTACCTTTTACACCTTGTTCACACAAACAACCACAGAGTACATACCCCAACAAGCTCCAACCACATTTAGGCTACAGGCAACAGACACAATCGAAAAAAGACAGGTAAAAAATTTATATGCGTTCACTAATTACTACATTATTCTTGCATTCAAAAACACCAGACTGAGAGTTTTTATGTCTTTGGCAGTTGATTAAATAATATGCTATTAAACGTTAAAGCTTTCAAGCTATTACCTGCTATTACCCAAAAATACCCGCGGAAAATAAATTACTCCAAAAAATACCCTCGAAACATTCATACCCTGAAAATTACCCTGTAGAATCAATTTTACTCTAAATCTAGGGTAAATTACCCTAAGTTGGCATCACTGCGTAGAACGTGATTGGGAGCCAGTGATACATGACAGCTTCATTCGTTTTAAATATATAGATCTACTATCGGCAAAGGCATTTAGCTATACAGCCCTGTTTTGGGTAGGTACCTAGCCGTCTTCCTAGTTTCCATATAATTTTTACTTTAATTTAAATTCCTTTTTTGTTTTAATACAACAATGACAATAAAGCAGACTGATAAGTCTAGCTTATTATTATAGTTGTATTAAAACAAAAAAGGAAAAACGAACACGTAAATGAAACATACATTTTTCCAATATCATTTATTGAATAATTTATTTTTTAACTTATTATATTTTTCACAGCTTTCTTCTACATTCTCGGCAATTCTTAGCTACGTTTTTTTAGAGGCACAACCTTATGAAACTTTTCAAGGTAATCACATTTTTTTAAAGATGTCACTGATATTTGCATACCTTTTTATACACATATTTAAGTTTTTCTAAAATTTCAATTGCCTTTAGCCAGAAAGAATGATGCTCTTTTCCTTTATGCTTTTTTGTTTATCGATGCTCCATTGACACTATCAAATAATTGGTCAAAGAATTAAACAACTTCAGCTGTATTTTTTAATGTTGTGCTGACGGGCCTGCCATCCACATAAGTTGCTGCAAATTAAAATATTCATACAATAATTGTATGAAACTTGATTCAAAACTATTAACTGTTAGTAAATTTTATCTAATACTCACAGAAATTTGCAGTGTAAGACAAAGCTACAGACATATTTTTACACAATTTTTACCTGCAAAAAGAGATATCATATTTAAAATTATCTTCATTAGAGAATCATTATTGTAATTTAAGTGTAAACTATATTAACTACTTGTTACATAATTAAAAATACAGGTCATTGAATCAACACTTGCTCTGATAGAGAATATAGAAGCTGAATACAAATTATTTCTTTTATTTATACTAATTTAAGTTATACTAATATAATAACCAATGCATTACCTTCATCATTTTAATTTTATCAGGTATAACTCATTGGTCATTTAATTTATGACGTAGCCCAGCTTCAGTGTGTTGACAGTCTGTCTCATAGACATAAATAATATCATGCCATTTTGCAAGTTTACTATCTAATATTAAATTTTTTGTTAAAAAATTGTTCCTGATGCATTTTATCAAGTGTGTAGAATCATAATGTTCAAATCCACCCCACATATTTTAAGAATGCCAACTGAAACAAAAAATTAAGAACTTCTTAAAACATAAATAACAATATAAAAATAAGAACCTTCACTACTTTCATTAAATCTATTAGTTTTCTTTCATATAAACATAATTCTCTGTACCAACCTGATTTCAATTTAAAATTTCATCACACTAAGTGTCTTATTTTAGATTTTTGAGTGCTGATTGGAAAGCTGAGCCTTGGTCATATATTATTGCAATGGGATTAAGGTCCAATTCAACAACTTTTTTTGACGTGGATACGTCTATGTTTTCGTTCTACAGGGGGGTCATTCTGTGAGCAGGAGTATATGCACTAACGCCATCTATTGGCGTATAAGTGAACTATGCTTGCTCTGCAGGGGGAGGGGCATTCTGTCAGCAGGAGTATATGCACTAACGCCATCTGTTGGCGCTAGCGAATACTTTTTTCATTCAACAAATGAACGCAACGAATATCTATTTATTTAGTGTTTAGTGTCTTCAATTTGTTTATTTTTTTTTTTTATCAATTACTCATATATCCATTCATACATAGACGTATCCACGCATAAAATATGGCTGTATCAATGATACAGCCATATTTTTTTACCCAGTCATCATCCCTATTCTATAAATTTTGCATGCACAATGCTGGTATAGTAAACATTGTCTTAAAATGGATTTTAAACTATTTTTCATTATTTTGGATGGCTTTAGAATACGGTGGAATTAATCTGAAATCATTAATAAACTTTTGGGGCAAACATTTTTAATAATCGTTGACATGAATTGATTATTATCGATCATTAATCGATTATGTGTAAAAACTATAATCGATGTGCATAATAATCGAATCGGCATATCATTAATATCAATCAGTATCACAGACTTAGTACAGTACACTGATTATTAGTAGGTATTGATGTATTATCTATATTCTATGATAACGAAATAGTTTAAATAACCGATATATCAAAATATTATTTCAGAAAATAATCGATATAAATCAGCGATAATTTTTCAACGATGTATCGCCGTTTCCATACTTATTTCGGACATCAAATCTATATATTTTAAGAAAATCGTAGGAAGGCAGTATGGGTTCAGTTTCCTTTGCTTTAAATAGACTGCTAGATGTGTATTTACTTTCAAATTTTGAATATCGACCCTTAGGACGCTTGTGCACTACACAGAATTTTCAGGTACGGCGGTCTGATTTTTTCCTGTCCTATATGTCAGGCCATATGTAGGTAATGCTATCGATACTTAACTAGATTTTAGAATTGTTTTAAAAGTATCGATAACTTAAGGTAAGATAAATAAGTGTTGTTACGCTTAGACGCCTAAACAACTGAACCCATCTTAATGGAAATTAATTTAGTAAATAGACTTAACTTCAAGAAAGGACATAGGCTACATTTTATCGCGAAAAATATGGGCTGAAAGTTTGCCTGGAAATTTGTCATTATCAAAATGTTTTTAGACAATTGATAAGTATAGATAAATATTTGATATATTTATCTATACTTATCAATCGTCTTAAAAAAAAATTGAAAACAGAACAGAAGTAATAATAAAGAAATAAACAGAAGATTAACAGAAGAAGTGACACTCAATGTCTTTTTCGCATTAAGTCTATATTGTAATAAAATTTGAAATGACAAATAAAAATAATAATTTTTTTTTATATGAGAAATTAATGTATTCACTTGACATTGGCAGAATTTTGCGAAATGCGCAGATAAGCCATTAATCAAAGAACAAGAAGAAGACTGTTTGTGTCATTAATAAATTAAAAAAAAAGAAGTATTCTAAGGGAAAAATATTTCTGCTCAAAGAAACTACACCACGCGTATAAAATTATGCCAATATATAATACAGTCAACTGATCTCGTAAAGTTCATTTAGGATATTAATTCTCGGCTTACACGGCACTAATTTCAATTTGTTTACGAAATGGCGCCACTGATTGGTCTATCTCTGTAATCGCTTAAAGTTGTTTTTACAAAACTTCGAAAAAAAATAAAACGTTTACAAATTTAAACATCAATTACTAGACCGTTATCAGTAATTTTATTCAGTGGTTGAAATGTGTAGTTTGTAAGCCTTACGGTTTCCCTTCAGGCGTGTTGTGCTCTCCTGAGGACGCCATTAAGACCAACTCACGAGAGGGTGTATTGGTGTCTGTTTGTGACGGTGATTTGAACCTGTTAGTGTCCATGTTGTGTATGGTGTATAATTCATCCAGTCCGCTTCCCACCCTCGAGTGTCCTATTAAAAGGAACACTAGGACTACAGACTGGATATAGATGTAGGGAGTTAGTATTCAGGTGCGACATCGGAAGCTCTAAATGAGTGGCTAGGTTACCGGTTCAGAGTCCCCCAGTTGTTCCACTCATCCTCACTTCGTCAGCATGACCCTAACTATCTAGCACAGAAAACTGCACCAAACCCCCCCATATCTTGCAGCGGCCCTCTTACGGGACGCTTGACCGTTTCCCCTCTGGCGCTACCCAGAGGGGCTACCGTTTTGGTTGAAATCCGGACCAAAGAGGGCGTGTTGCGTTGCGAAGGTACTATCGCCGACCTCGCTTTGCTCAACCCCCCAGGACTCCTTCATCCCCCCTTACGGCGATCAACTGCGCAGGCCTTAGCGCAGGAGGGGCTAGTTTGTCTATCGGCTGCCCCCCCACCCACCGGTAAACGACGTGGACGTACACCTGCCACTTGACGGTAGACATATCCTGCTAAACACCGCACACTTGAGCATATACCAGCCGCCCTTCACCCCCACCAACACTCTTAATTCTGTTCGTGCTCCAGAAATGTCCATAATGATAGGGCAAGGTGGTACGGTGTTACAAGGGGTACGGTGTTACAAGTGTTACGGTGTTACAAGGGACACACTTTTACAATGCACATATCTCCATCCATGTAATTAATTTTTATAATGTTGGTATATAGTTTTGACAAGCTTTTAATTATTTAATAATAGCGAATATTTTTTTTTTTTTTTTTTTTTTTTATTTATTATATGGTTTACCAACATTCGGTTACACAATAAACTTACGTACTAAAGATTGTAAAAAGATGTATCACATGCATGTATGTAACGAACAATTACAGGTAAACACCGCATGCTTAGAACAAACAAATAACTATTATTTTCTTAACTAAGGAGTACGAAACAACTTTTGATTAATATTCAATAATTCATATACTTGAACCATTAATTGACATTAAAATTAAACAACTTAACAGAGCACCACTCTAATAGTACAATTACAAGTGTTACCTATTAAGGGCATTGTTTCCATGTCTCAAACAAAATCGATTTGATCCTGGCAAATGTGTCACCATGTACATCAATGATGCTGTTGTTTTCGTTTAAGAGTCTACAAATTCTTGGAATAGGTGAATTTGCACCTAACTGCGACTTACGATATGGTGGGCACAGGAGCGACATTGGGTAACGGGGGTATCTACTGGGAACTCTAAATTTAATCAAGCGAAGAAGAGGAGGACAATCAATTTTCTCATTAAAAACTTTAAAAACAAATGATAGATCCATCAATTTCCTACGGTTAGCCAGTGATAGTAATCGAAAGTAATTTAACCTTTTTTCGTAGGATCTAATACTCTTAGTGATTCCTTCCTTAAATGACAAATAAGAAACGAATTTTCTTTGTAGTCGCTCTAACCTTAAAGAATGTGTAGCATAGTGCGGTCTCCAGACCACACTACAATATTCCCCCAAAGCGCGAACAAGACTACTGAATAACAAAATCTTTATTTTACTATTTTTAAATTCCTTAGTGTTACGAATCACGAATCCTAACATCCTATTACCTCTTTTGTATATATTTTCCATGTGCGGAATAAAGGTCAGTTTTCTGTCGAATATAACCCCCAAGTCTTTTATTTCGTCTATGTTTTTTATCCTTTCAGAACCTATTTTATATTTAGTATTAAAAGACACATTTTTTCTAGTGAACTTCATGTGGTAACATTTAAATCCAAATCATTGAATTGACTCCATTTGACTAGCCGGTTTATGTCACCCTGTATCAACTTCATATCATCAACGGTTTCACAATTCGAAACTAGCTTTAAGTCATCGGCATACATAAAAGCTCTAGAATGTTGAAAGCACTCGGATATGTCGTTGATAAAAATAGTGAACAATAGCGGACCCAAATGTGAGCCTTGCGGAACGCCAGATGTTACACAGTATCGAGCGGAGCTGAATCCATTAACAACTACGTAGAAACTTCGATTACTTAGGTAAGAATTAAACCATTCCAGCAAAGGGCCCACCATGCCATAAGCCTTGAGCTTATATAAGAGAATATCATGAGGAACCCTGTCAAACGCCTTGCTGAAGTCAGTATAAATTACGTCTACCTCTTTGCCAGTATCCATGGCTTCAGCTACTATTTCAGTAAATAGTGTTAAATTTGTGGCGGTAGATCGACATTTCACAAAGCCATGCTGAGAATCGGTCAGATAAGTTTTTATGTGATTTTGGAGTAACGGACAAAGGAGCGATTCAAAAACTTTTGCCAGTGTCGATAAAATAGATATATAATATGTGTGATCGAACGAAAAAGACACTCTAAAATGGGAATGCCGAGGGCATTTAGTGAGTAGGTTGCTGCTCTCAGTAGGGGAAAGCCACACACACCCACTATTACCCCGTGGGGTGGCAAGGATAGTGCGTAAGGCATTTTCCCTGGATCAAAAAAGGATGGATAGTGGGTAACACCTACTATGTTTGTTACCTTGTATATTGTAAAAAGTAGGGAGTTTTGATTTACACGAACCAGATCTAGCGTAGAAAGTAGATTAAATAGAATGAGAAATAAACATTTCAAATAATAATAATAATATGTATATTATTGTTATTATAGTTATTTACACAATTGAAAAAGCAGTTTAACATGATTGGAAAATGCTGTTTGACTGGATTAAAGTAGTTTAGTCTAATTCGTACGCACAACAGCATATCAGGTTATTATAAAAAGCTAACATTGTGCCAACAATTTTAAACTTAATTATCAATCTATTTAAGGCTTAAAATATATTGCAGAAATATGTCCTTTAATAGCAACTTGACGTGCCGTCGACTTTACAACAAAATTGCTACCATGAAACTTTTTTACAATTTTTATTACATGTGATTACGAGATAGACATTTTTGTCTTAACCTAGGCACGGCTCATTTATAGGCAAACTAGGCACCGCCTAGGCGCTCGTATTTGGGGGGCGACATGACAAACAGATTATGTTTGACCTAATCTAAACCATAAAAATGTCTTCCTTAAAACAATTATTTTTTTTCTTTGAATAAAGCACAAAGTTCTCAGACTAATATGACCTAAGCAGTTTCTTTAATCATAGTTACACTCTTTATGCGGTGTACCTTTGTTAGTCTTTTACCTGTACCTAAATTAGTGTACCTAACTTTTTGTTGCGATTTTTATAAGGGCGTCGTTCCAGTGTTTTGCCTAGAGTGCTAAATACCATTGTTTTGCCTAGGTCACCAAGTTTCATAAAGCCGGCGCTAGCTTACCCATTATCCGGGATCATTGTTAAGATAAACATAACTGGAATCGTGGGTTAATTTGGAGCCAGAAATAAAAATAGGCTTTAGTTTTAAATTACATCAGAATACCACCACATTCTGTAATCTTCAAGTACCGAGAGTCCAGCTCCCGTCTTTTCTCTTTTGTCCCTTGCAACGTAATCAGATTCCACAAAAAACGCAAGAGTTAAGCGTTTAAAATTTTAAAAGACTTTTATGCTGTGTCCATATTAACCCACGATCGAACGCGAAGTAAATCACTTAATTATTAGAGAATTCTGTAATACCGGGCAACTTGAAAAGAGTTACCAAGTAGAACATTACAAAATTATAATACGCCTAATAGTTTAATTTATCATCTTATATACAGAATATTTGTTTCAATAAATCATACGTTTTAACAATTAGGTAAGACTTTCCTAATAAAATTTGACACAAAATAGGTACCTACTTCTGAAATATTTGTACATTCAATGGGAGTCTATAATTACATGATTATAAATTTACATTTTAGAAGTTGTTGCAGATTTATAATACGAGTACTGCGACTACTATCATAACGTAAACTTATATTAGGTATCTTATACCACAATCAACCTTAAAGTAAGTATATAGACATTAAATACTGAGAATTAACATAACGAGATATTCATTAAAAACTACATCACACGTTTACATCACATATGAATACTGTAGAATAATCTATATTAGAACAGTAAATGCAAATATCACTAAAGGTATATCATTAGATTTATTTATAAATGATTGAAACCAAGGGCGTCGCCAGAGATTCTAAAAAAGTTTCCCAAAATGTAAAAATCCAAAATCCTAAGTCTGACTTCACTTGCTTGATCGATCATTACTGTATGTCAAAATTAGAATGAACTTACCAATTCAATTCCTACACTCAACTCCTCTCTGCTTTATGTTATTGTTAAAGTGGGAATATGGGAGTAGTGTACATTCAAACCCCCAAATTATATTTTTCTAATAAATTTAATAACTTGTTTAAAAGTATTATTTCTGCAGTCAAAAACTCGTGTAACTTTACAAGTTGGACTCTGTACTGTTGTTATTACAATTGCCGTAGATATATGTAAGATTCATACTACAAGTAAAATACTTCATGTGCTTTCGACTTTAGCTGCAATTCATACTTAGCTCATTTTCCATAATCAACTTGTCCCCGCCATGGGTCATAGACTGGCGACGCCCCTAATTGAAACCATAACGAAAAACATTTTTAATACAACAATTTCTACTAAAATAAATGTCACTAGATGGCGGTACTAAGTAAGAAACGTTTCTGTCAATTGGATTTTGAGAACAATTTATTTTACTTAAATATTTTACCATCGAGTTATCTATACCATTTTGGTGGCAGCTTAGATATTGTCTGCTACACTTAGGGCTTGGGTCTTGGTAATTGAAAGGGAAATACTTATTTACACTCGTGAAAATCCTCATTCAAAAGTTCATAGCCTGTCGGATATTTTATGAGTTGAATGTTCTCTGTGGCTTTAGCGAAAATCTTGCATATTTGTATTGTATTAACATTTGAATAGTTAAATGACGTAAAGCATGACCAAATGTAACGAGTTCTGTCGTACTGTAAATATTATAAAAAAATTACAGTTTTTACCTTTGATTTAAACGAAATAATCGAATAAGTGTTAAATCATGTACAAGGCATTCATGCGAGCCGTGAACTAGGTAAAGTTCCCGAAAAGTTCTATAAAAAGTAAAATATATTAGAATGATGTAACATATTATTAGTAAATAAATACTTAAGTATTTATTTACACATTATGCCACTAATATGTAGCACAGAAATATCAATATCCAGTAATCTAACATGGTATATTACTAGATGTATATGGCAGCCCATATTTAATTTAGTCATGTCTTGTTGAATCTGATCTGGTTCCATTAAGTCAGTGTTTAAATTGTTAATTATTTATTTTTAAGTATCACCGACCATATGGAATCCAGCAAATACTTGGGATTCCGTGGCGTTGATAAGTCTCGGGTTTGTATAGTAGATAGTGTTTAATATTTATGAATCAGTGATTCTTAACCTCGGGTCGTGTCGTCACTCAAAATCACTCGATTTTCGGTGATATTGAAATAGTTTTTTTTTTTATTTATTTCAAGCATTTCACCTCGACCTTTTAATGAATCCTCTTGTTTTATTAACATAAATAGAAACGTCGAGCTCCCGGGTGTCAAATATATTTATGTTTTGGGTCGGCAGTCAAATAGATTTCTGCAAATTTGTACTTAATAAACGCATCTCAATAGTCTCAATTACTAGCATTTTGTCATTATATGAGTACTATCTATCTGTAGTCTAATATATCTTTCACACAACTCAGTGATGACAGATTTATTTATTATTTTGTGATGTAGTAACAAGAATTGTGTCAAACAAGATTGTAGTTGAAGTGCTATTAACTTTCTCTAGTTACGCAAACATTAGCAGATTTATCATACTGGTCTAGATGCGGAGACTAACATATAATGCCGTCAGTTTAACGTTCCCTTCTAGCACGTTTACCACGAGCGGTTTGTGTAGATTGATTTTGTTCATCTTCAGCTCGTCTCTTGGCCTGCGCTAGAGGGCGCTGTAGCTGACTCTGCGCTGTCAACTGAAGTTGTAAGGCATGAGTGTTTAATCTCTCAGCTAGTAGAAGGGGTTTCAAGGCAGCCATTTTATAACTATATAGAGTGACTCGCGGCCGGCTGTTTACTGCTGCCGTCAATTGTTCCCTAACAGTCATTTCAGTGTTATCAGCGTTATTATTCCATTTGTCTTTGTCTTCATTATTGGGCTCTTCTTTTTTCTCGGTTGTCGTGGCCTCTTTTGGTTCTTCTTTATTTTCATCAGACTCTGTATTACAGATTATATTTACCTGAGCTCGGACCTCTGCATCGAATTTGGAAATGGTACTCACTAAAGGCTTTGCCCATCCAATGTGAAGAATTGGTGTCTGACTACCCTCCTCCCATTTACAAATTCCATCATAAAATCTGTAAATAAATGAACATGGTATGGTTCAAATACTTTTCAGTTAACTTTTTAAAAATCAAATTTCCTTAATAACAGTGGTGGTTTTTCCGATAAACTATATGGGTAACGTCAATTAATGTTGTTTTCTTTAAATAATTAGTTATTATATTTATATTTTCTGAGCTGTAAAAAAGAACCTATTATTTTGTGACGATTATAGTGAATTTCAAAATGTTAAACTTTGAGATGTATATATTATTACTTTTATATTTCTGATATAGTATTATTTCTGATTATAATTGTTTTTATACATACCTTAAGAGGGAAGCAAAACATTCAGGATCCTTTAAAATTGATCGCGCTGAATGTCCTGAACTTTCTGCTTTCATTAATTGAGGTATTAATTCATTAGCAATTTCTGAAAACTCTTTGTATATTTCTTCATCATCGCGGGAATAATTATAACTGGAAAAAAAATAACGTTTAACGTTTACTTAAATGGGAAAATATTTACAAAAAATATTATATGGTCTTTATTAAACGCTCGCTATCTTTAAATTAAAATAAAAGCTAATGTTAATTTTTTTTTTATTAATTTTAACATACAATTTATATGGAATATAATATCGGTCAAATGTCCACTTAGACTTTGCCAGGTAAATGTAGCTTCTATTATAATCAAAGGAAGGTCTAATTGAAAGACCCTATAAAATACAATAGATATGTGACAACAACTTTTACGAATCTGCATAATTTAGTACAAAGTCATAGTTTTGAATAGAGAAATAACTATAGAAAATTCTGCTCTCTGGAAAATGCATTCTATAAGAAAACGCCATTTTTTTATTTCCATTTAAAAACTAATTAAAGAATTTAAGTATCTATAAATAGCTCTATTTCTAATTCTATTTCTAATATTTCAATAGCTCTATTTCTAATTCCATATTCCCTTCATCTTGGAAAGATGCTCAGATAATTCCTTTACCTAAAGTATGTAATCCCAAATCTATTAATGAATTTCGTCCGATATCTGTTCTCCCCTTCCTATCCAAAGTCTTAGAACGTCTTGTTCATCAACAATTTAGTAAGTTTATTTCTCGGCATAACCTGTTAAATCCTTTGCAATCTGGTTTCCGGCCCGGTCACAGCACTACTACGACTCTAGTAAAAATCACTGATGATATTCGTCTAGCGATGGAAAATGGTCACCTGACTGTGTTAACATTACTGGATTTCAGTAACGCTTTTAATACGGTTGATTTCGATATACTTCTTGCTTTGCTGCACTTACTTAACATATCTCCAACGGTAATTGATTGGTTTCGCAGTTACCTGTATGGGCGTAGGCAGCGTGTTCGCCTCGACGAGAATTTCTCATCATGGTGTGACACGAAAGCTGGCGTTCCCCAAGGCGGCGTTTTATCTCCCTTTTTGTTTGCAATCTTTATTAATTCCATTTCTCATAATCTTTCTTGTTCCTATCACCTATATGCAGATGATCTTCAGATTTACTGCGAAGCACCACTGACTGAACTAGATCAGGCGGTAGTAAAAACTAACCACAACCTTCAACGCATTGCGGAATGGAGTAAAGATTTTGGTTTGGGTGTTAATCCCGCTAAAACTCAAGTCATGATTACAGGTAGCTCCAGAATGATTTCTAAAATTGATCTACATGCACTACCGAAAGTGGTTTTTGATGGCATTGATATTCCTTTTAGTCGAACGGTAAGGAACCTTGGGATAGTTATGGACAGTCATTTGAATTGGGATGCACAACTGCAAGCTGTCAGCCGCAAATTATATGCATCAGCCGCTTCATTGAAAAGACTTCGAAACTTCTTACCCACTGCCACTAAAGCTGCGCTAGCGCAATCTTTGCTGCTTCCTATCCTCGATTACGCCGACGCCTGCTATCTTGATCTTTCGGAGGACCAGCTTAATAAACTTGAGCGTTTACAAAACTTTTGTGTCCGTTTCATATTTGGTTTGCGCAAATATGACCATGTTTCTCATTTTCGTTCTGAACTCAAGTGGCTTCCTATACGTCTTCGCCGGAATTCTCATATATTATCCCTTCTCTATAACATATTGTTCAATACTAGTTACCCTTGCTATCTAAAAGATTGTTTCAGTTTTCTGCATTGCTCAAATTCCTATTCTTTGCGATCATCGGAGAACCTGAGTCTTGCGATTCCATCTCATCACACTTCATTTTTTGATTCTTCTTTTACCGTACAAGCTGTTCGTCTATGGAATTCACTTCCACTTTCAATCAGGCGAGCGCAATCCTTACAAGTATTTAAAAAATATGTTAAAGAATACTATCTCACACAATAATATAATTACTGCTGCCGTATTATCGCTTTTTCCTGTTTTGATATTAATAGGTGTATGTATATATTTATGTATGTATGTTGTATTTGTTGTTAATGAATATATTTTTTGACTCGTATTTATTTATTGTACATTTGTATGTGTATTTAGCAATAAAATTTTGTTTTTTTTTTTTTTAGTTACTTTAAATAAGTCATTAGTGTGCCTCAATGATATATTGTTAACATTTACACCCCCATCTTCATTATTCATGTTATCTCTCTCCATCCACTGGTTGCCTGGAAGAAATCGCTTTAAGCGATAAGGCCGCCAATTGTTTCATAATAGTGTTAATTTACTATAAATTATGTAATTAATTGTCTAATGTGAACAATAAAGAGTTTTGTATTGTATTGTAATAGTCATATAATCTTTAGCCTTTGTATTTGATGACAAATAGTTTTGTCCTATATAATAAAGTAATAAATACAATACCAATAAAAAAGGATTAAAAAAAAAATACAAACTGCCTTATAACATCTCCAGCGCAGGCCCATGCATGAAATGCTTCTTTATACATTTTGTGACGATGATAGTACCCGGCTTGAAAGGTATACGGATAAACATGCCGGTCATCATAATGTGTTCGCGAAGAACGAATGGCTTGGGTGTAGAGAGCAGCGGAATCTGGTCTTGAGGTCGCAAATGATTGTGGCAATGGAGAATCTTCGGTATCATCTGCGTTATTAGATATTTTCATATACTCGTCCAGGTCGCCGAGATTTCCAAGAGCCATAGGATATGCATCTAAATGACCTGAAATGTATTTTTTATTTATAATACTATGATACGTCCCGGCTTCACACATAATGTAATTTACGTATAATTCTCATAGATAAAAAAAATTACATTACAGGTGTACCATTTACTTATACATATGAAAACCCGTTCAACACCGCGATAATAAAATAGATGTTATCTTTATGCGATAGAACATTTTGGAAACAGTATGGTATAGATTTCCAATATCAATAAACAATAGATTCATCTAAAGAAAATTGAATTGATGTATATCTTGAAGGCTTTATCCACATATACTAGAAGCGACATAATCCGCTCTAGTGGAAGTTGGAGATTTCAAATTCAAAAGAATGAAATTCAAGATGTCATAATAGAAAATGTTGGCTAAGTAATGTAAAGTTAAAAAAAAAACAGAGATTAATCTGGCTGATTGCTTCTTTAACATAAAACGATTTTGAATAACCAAGCCCACTCGTTTTGAGTTTGAGTTCGATCGTTAATCGTTAGTGTAGTACAGCTTAATAATAGGCTATGAAAGATTTGATATTTTGATTATTTAGATTAGTGAAATCATGACAACATCCATATACAAAATGAACATAGGTACTAAATGTAAAATTTAAAAATTGTAATCGGTCGGTGCCAAAAAAATAAGACTAACATGCGCCAAAAGAAAACGATATGTTTTTGTGAAACTTTCAATAGCACCCTAAGCTTAGAACTTTAGTTATGTAGAAAACAATTAGGCAACCCAGACGATAGACAATAAAGAACGGTTAGTTTTCTCTTGACCCTGATGGAAGTACGCTTACGAAGAAGATCTGTATAATGGAATTGATAAATCTTTGAACACATTTGATAAAGTTTTACTTTACACAGACGAAGATTCCTCAATTTTAATTCTGGAATGAAAATTTTGTTGAAGTAACATACATTATGTAATAATAGAATAACATTGACCAATCATAGGTTCAATAGTCCCTGTGGACGATTGATTGATAGAATAGTATTTACCATGATCGTAGAGGAGCCATAACAGTCTGTGCTGCATCTGTGCAACTTCATGCACATCGATTGTGGGAGTCAAAGTGGGATTTATTGACGACACCAATGCAGCCAATTCCATTATACGAGTACACACAACCGGCTTTCCGGCAACATAGAGCCATGAGCGTGCTGATACTCCATCTCCTACAGACCGACCTCTTTTGTCTTCATTTCCTTTTCCATGCCAAGTGACCTAAAGCATAGAACATCTGATATTATAAACAATAGTACTCTATCGTTTATAATACCATGAAGGTGTCTGGTATTATTAGGTGCTAATAAAATTAACGTTTCTTTAAAATGCGTTTACTCGCTTGAACCAACAGTTACAGAAGAAGAAAAAAGCCGTTACAGAAACTTAAAATTAGTGATGTGCGATGATTCGATTATTCGTTTCGAACATGCCCCCGCGCATTTGTCCTTCAACCAAATCTTCACCAGGCATAATTAGTGGTACTATACTGCTGTGACTTCTCCTAACGACACCACTCGCCGTTCTTATATCCGCAAGACGACATACGTTGTCACTCGTACCGGGATGAACAGCTACAATACGTCCAAGTTTCCACTTTAACGGTGGAAGATCATCTTCCTCCAACAGGATAAGAGTATCGATCTTCAAAGAGTACCTGTCAGATTGCCATTTGACTCGTTGTTGAAGTTCGCTAACTTATTCCTTGCTCCATCTTACCCAAAAATGCTGACGCAACTGTTCAATGCGCTGATAACGTGTCAATCTACTATAGGATAGCCACTTTAGTTCCGGCCGGCAAGGCAGTTAGTGGACGGTCGATTAGAAAATGGCCGGGTGTGAGTGGTGTCAAGTCTGCGGGGTCCGATGACAACCGAGAGAGTCGCCGAGAATTAAGAATCGCCTCGATCTTTACTAACGTGGTAGTGACCTCCTCCAACGTTAAATTACATTGGCCCAGCACTCTTTTTAAATGAAATTTACAGGTCTTGATTGACAGGCCACCGAGGGGACCGAAATTCGGACTATAAGCAGGTATATAATGGAAACATATACCTTCCTGTGCCATAACCGAAGCTAGTGAGTAACTATTTAAAATTTTTGAAATATCATTATAAGCGCCCACAAATGAGAGTACCATTATTATAAAATATATGAGTGGGTTTTCCTCTGCGTGATATAAATCTACGCAACGCTAAAGCCTAGTTCGCAGTAAGCTAGTATCCTGATCGGAGCGTCGCAATTTAGGGCAGCTTTCTTTGAAGCTACACTTCAATTACGTTAGGTACGATGGGATTTTTGGAACGTCGGTAATTGCTTGCTTTGTTACTCTACGTGCGAAAACGTAGAAAACAGAACAAATACTGGTTTTATCTCCTTATCAGTGAAAGGTACCTTAATAATGACCTGATAGGATCATTTTACATAAAACATAATAAATTGAGGCAAGACGAAAGCATTTTTTTTACTGTTATCGGATGACTACTATCAGATGTAAAAAATACTACTTTAGGAACAGCATTATTCATATACAATAGTTAAAATATCTGTGACGTTAGAATAAAATTACTTGTAATGTTCTAGTATTTGATGTTTAAATTTATAATCGTGCTATTTTTTTTTTAAGTTTTGTAAAAACAACTTCAAGCGATTACAAGGATAGACCAATCATTGGCGCCATTTCGTAAACAAATCGAAATTAGTGCCGTGTAAGCACAGAATTAGTATGCTAAAGGAACTTTACGATGGCATTTAAATCAGCCATCCTATTGTAAGTTTTAAATGTGATGATTTAACTATAATCATTGTAAGATCAGTTGACTGTATTATATAAGTATAGGTATAATTTTATACGCGTTTCTGTGAGCAGAATTCTTTTTCTTTTAGAATACCTTTGTTATCAAATATTTATTTATACATATCAATTGCCTAAAAACAAATTTTGATATTGGCAAATTTCCATGAAAACTTTCATCACCTATTTCCACCTCTTTTTCGCGATAAAAGGTGGTAAGTCTATTTCTATATTAATTTCCATTAAGATGGGTTCAGTTGTTTAGGCGTCTAAACGTTCTTACCTTAATTTATCGATACTTTTAATACGATTCTAGAATCTAGCAAAGTATCGATACTAGAATCATACGATGAAGGCATATGTAGTGATATTTACCAACTATATTAAATCATCATATAAATATCGCATTTTATAATCTACAATAAATATCGATTATCAGTATATCAATATCTCCGAAATAAATATAGATTTTTCATAAATCGACTATTTTTCCCAAGCCTACTCCGCAGGCCCATGAGTTTTCCGGATCGCGGACACAGCAGTGCACAAGCGTTAACGCGTTTTTCATTGCCGCCATCACGGACTCGAAAACACCGGTCCGGAATAGAGATAAGTAAAATTCCGGACGGTAAAAATCCTGACAGTGCACATGCTAGCATTACCTACATATGGCCTGACATATCGGACCGGAAAAAATCGGACCGCCGGACCTGAAAATTCAGTGTAGTGCACAAGCGCCCTAACCCTGAGATCTCATGTCTCCCTACTTTTTAGGTAGTAAACGTTTATAATAAAAATTATATGTTTTATTACCCATCTGTTAACGCTCTTACGGTTCCTAAACCCACCAACAACAATAACTAATAACCTCTTTTTTAAAAAAGCGTTACAATACACATAAAAATAAATGTCATCTACATAAATAACATAAATCAACGCATAGCACATAAGTAATAGAGATTTTTAGTTGCAATAACTATAAAAAATATATAATAATAACATATCAAAATTAGAAAGCAAACACAAAGTAACCCACAAAACCAAAATTGTTCTTCAGAAAAGTTGTTGTTTTTGTTTTTATTTTTTGGAAAAAAATCTTACTTCTGTATCAATATATCAATCAACCAAGTTACCATTTTTGTTAAGTACAATGGATGTTTTTAACATTTAAAAAAATATATTTTGTACCTGTCATTATATCAATATTGTATTTATATTGATGTAGCAACTTTGTACGTTATATCAATCAATTAAGTAGAGGGTATTTTTGGTCTGTCATTTGTAAACTGGCAACCTACCTAGCCAAATAAACTCATGTGATTATAATTACGTATTTTATTTCTTATTGAACATATTAGTGGCGACGTATGGAAAATACACTTAAAATGGTCAAAAAAGCAGTGAAATAATTACAATTCTCACTAAAAATTATAGAATTTAGAATGTAATATCAATGCCATTCAAATTTTACAATCCAAACCAAAAGCGCGCCGAATTAGCATCTGATTACATAGCACAACTAAGGAAATTAAGTTCAAGATGGAATTTCACTTATTAAGAAAGAATGTTACACATTTTCAACGAAAGCACTTGGTATAAATTGAAACTCCAATTACCGGTCGACGCCTTACGACCCGCTTCACTTACATTACGAACTTGGACTGAGACACCAGTGAAATTAGTTAATTAGTTTTGTTCAATTTCTTTATAACGTTACCCTTAGCCCTCTGACTATATCTGTACTTTAACCACTACATCGTTTATTAGATACAACACAACCATGGAAATGGAATGAGCTAGAACAAAATGCTTTTGATACAGCAAAACGTTTACTTTCATTTAATTTTACAATAGCATAATACGGTGTCCACAAACCACTGATTCTTACACATGATAGTTCCGAGTATGGGGTGGGAGCTCCGAGAGAGAGTATCTCATGAAATGGACAGTGGTTGATAACGTCCTATAGCTATGTCTTTAAGGATTGTACATTATCACAAGCGATGATATTTTCAATTTGACAAGGAAGCTACAACTATATTTTTTGGTAGTACAAAATCTCATAATTATCTCATGGGCAGACATTTTCGTGTAGTGACTGATCACAAACCCTTATTCGAAATATTTGACCCAAGAAAACCTATGTCTAACATGCTATCGCTTTGTTTGACTAGAATAGCGATCGTCTTGACATCACATAGTTGAGACATAATATATAAACCTGGGGCTCAAATAAAAAAACACAGACAGTTTGAGTCGATGACCTCAGCTTGTACCAATACAACAAAAGGAGCAGAAATTTTGTTAATGGATGAAATACCCAAAGACTTTGATGAATATTAATATTTCAAATCTTTTATTAAATCTACATGTGACTCCATGCACTGTTACAAATAAAAGTCCTTCAGAAATGTTACATTCATAAACTTCAAAGAATCGATGATCAGATTACAAGTAACAATGATAAGAATACAATAGAAAAGTAAACTTGGTAAGGGGTGATGTACAGAAACTATAGTAAAATGGGGATGAAATGGTTACCAGGTAAAATAATAGCTTTCATATACCAATATTGTATTGATATTAATGTAGGTACTTTTTACATTATTTGATATCAATAATATTAATTAACTGGACTGTTTATATTTTTGGACCGTCACTTGTGAACTGGCTACCTAGTCAGATAAACTCGTGTGATTCTAATTACGTAATTTATAATAATAATAATGATTTATTTATTTAGCAACTACACAATGTACACAAAACAAATTGGATAAATAAATAAACACGCACCGTGGCCCTAAAAAGGTATCCATTCAGCATAAAGCCGAGATGTCATTGAGATACCTCAACGCTGATCTACATGACACCAGATAAGGAGAACAAACTACTATGCACCAAACATAAATATTTATATGAAATAATTTTCCTAAATATTTAAAGGAGATTTTTTTTGGTACTTTATTACGAAAAAATCTAACCACTACAAAGAAAATCATAACACCTAGACTCAATGCTCTGCCTTTAATCAAAAATTCTGGCCTGAAAGTTCCCCCGTTTTAGGGAATTAAGTAAAAAAATTGGTATAGTTTTACTAGAAACACAGGTATCTCTCTTTGAAAAATAAAACGCTGTAAATGAAAACAAAGGTAAAGGTATCTTTGGTGTAATTATGAAAGCGGAGAAATTCCGATAATTAAATTAAACAAAAAACAATATGTTTGTTTTACAAAATGCCTGATTTGTTGTAAATTTGTCAGTTTGCTCAGCAGACCGGCGTGCCAGACTCTGTCAAAGGCTTTCAAGATGTCGAGCGATACTGCAACTGCTTCGCCGTGTTTCTCGATAGCCTGCGTGACGTACACAAGAAGATCCCCAGTAGATCGGCTCTGGCGAAAACCATATTGCTGATCACTGAGTAGGTCGTGTTTTTCAAGGTACGAAAGCAGCTTAGTGTTAAGAATTCTTTCCATAACTTTGCAAATTATGTAGGTGATAGATATTGGGCGGTAGTTGGAGGGGTCTGCACAATCACCCTTTTTGGGTAGAGGTTGCACATTGGCTAACTTCCACATTTTAGGAACTTTTTTCTGTTCGAGAGAGAGGCAAAATAGTCGTGTTAAAATAGGAGACAGTTCAGGCGCACAAACCTTAAGGACTCTTGCTGGGATTCCATCGGGGCCACATTCAAATTCTGCAAAGCTCTTCTAACCTCCTTACAGTGTATGGTGACATGTGGCATAAACGTGCTACAGTGAGGGAGGGAAGGTGGACTTGCACTGCTTGCATTCAAATGAGAATTGCTCGCGAAGGAAGCAAATAAATTCGCTTTCTCAGCCGCGGAGTGAGCCAGCGATCCGTCAGGCCTCAGCATAGGAGGTAAACTGGGACGGCAGAAGTTGGATTCAACCGATTTAAGCAGGGTAAGATGATAGTTTGGACCCAATGCGACGTACGTGGTCGGACGTGCCTTACGAGACAATCTCTTACATGCCTTGACTGCGGAGTTGAAGGCCTTCTTCCTCGCACGTACCCTCTGAACTCCGAGTTTACGGTCGTGAGCTTGAACCCATTCACGGTACGCATACTCTTTTCGCATTTCAGCACGAGCACAATCCGCATTAAACCAAAGTCGGGTTCTGTGATCGAGCGAGATATCGGAGAACGGAAAAAAATATTCCATTCCCTGCCGAATCACGTCTACGACTGCATTACAGGAGCCAGAGGGGTCATCCGATGAAAATCAGACTTGTCGCCAAGGATAAGACGCAAAAAATGACGCACTTCGTCCCATTCTGCTGACTTGTATCGCCAAACTCGCCTCGTGCCCCTAGAACTGAAACCTAGAGGCGAGGAGATCGACACAGATTTGACCACACAGTGATCTGATGAACCCAGTGGAGCTGACACCGAAACAGAGTGCCTGTGGCGGTTTGTTGTCAGCAGAAGGTCTAGGCAGGGGGTATGGCCATCGATGTCCGGTACTCGCGTTGCTTCATTTACAAGCTGAGTGAGATCTAACGACAATGCAAACTTGGGTGTCTCACGTCCAGCGTGGTCTGTTTTTTTCAAATGGAAATAACCACTCGCGGTGGTGGGCATTAAAATCCCCAAGAAACAGAAGCTCAGCTGCGGTGTACCTTTGAATAGCCGCATCTGCCGTCTCAGTGAGGTATTCAATGAGCCTAGTTGTCTCCTGGTCACCGCTGTGCGATCGATATAAACCGACGTAGAGCTGTTTCTCTACACCAGTATCAACCAATAGCCAAAGGGCGGATATACCAGGTTTTTCAATGTCACGGAGACGCTTATAGCAGACGTCATCGCGCGCGTACACACAGACCCCAGCCCTCTTTCGGAATTTATGTTCCAAAGTGTAACCTGGGTAGTTGAGGTACGACACGTTCGACGGTTGCTATCTGCGTCTCTGTTAGGAAGAAAAGGTTTGGCTTTTCGGTTTCAAGGCAATGGTGGACCGAATCGAGATTTGAGTGTAGCCGTTTTTTGAACCTTTTTCCCTTTCGACTTTTCATGTATTTGAGTGATGGTTTAACAGTCGAGGCGATGTCCATTAAACAACTGGAGCACCACAGTATAGCCATCATATGGGAAAATGCTGGAAACTGCGGGGACGCCCGAACCCCCCCGAAGATGTCCACCGGGTCCTCCCATCCAGTCGCCAACTGGCACGGTGGCGCATCACGGAAATTTTCGCAAGTCGGCGGGGCAGACTTTTGCACGTGGCTAGTGCACTAATTGGGCCCCCTACTAACTGCGGTCGATCAACAGCAAGACCGTGCTTCGGATCCTGCTAGTCCCCAAACCGATCTGACCTAGTACGACTCCACCATGGGCTCAGTACCGTTCTTGAACATAGCTACTGACCACTTAGCATCACCCATTGGCACTGGTTCTCCTGCACTCCGATGGAACGCATCAGATGATAATATGAGAGAGAATGCAATTTAAAATTATCAGTTTATATATAAATTCAAGCTCTCAGCTCTCTCTATATAAATCAGATTCTGTAAATCAAGAAGTTTTTAAATTTGTTTTACAGCATGAAACTGTTTAAAAGGTGGAGGAATGTTATTCCAACATTTCGCGATAGCATAACAAAAACTGCCACAAAATGCAGCATGAAAAGAGAAATTAGGCTTATCATACAAGTAAACCAGTGACCATCTCTTAATAACAACAAAATTTTATTGATTAGAATGCAAAATTGATCAAAATTTAATCATGGGTGTGGAAGCTTGCATAGGGAATTAAATCATTGCCATAGTAACCATTGTTTACAATTTAATTACTCATTTTAATTATATTCCAGGTCATCCTTTTCCAAATCCATTATTAAATTTAAGCTGTTATCGCAGGATTAAATAATTAAAGCTATTAAAGCAGGATTAAATAATGAAGAATATAAAAAAATATATAAATAAAAATCTTTCTCACTTATATGAAATGCAAATGTCATATTGGTTATTTATATGAAATTGTTACATTTAGCTGCCTTAACTGAGCACTAGATGACCCTACTGTACTTTTAAAAAGGGATTAGAATTATGTTTGTAGTTTTTATTCCATTTGTTATCACACAAAGTAGTTTTTGTTTTTAATTTTGTAGTATTTCCAATAACATGGCGAAATAATTAAATATTACAATTAGCTGTTTGTTTCCTTTAATTAAGTAATTCTTTAGAGTACCTTTATTTCCAAAATCATTTACTTTATGTTAAAAGAAGAATAATATGTTTTTTTCGCTTTCCAAACTAATTTTATTATTTTTCTTACGTTCACAAGTCAAATAATAGTAAAAACTACAGAGGTTTTGATTATTTGTGTGTACTAAAATAGTTAACCATTAATTTATTATATTATTTATTTGCAAAATATACACCAAAAAAACCAGCCAAGTGCAAGTTGACTCATGCACAAAGGGTTCTGTCCCAAAAATGAACAAAAATATCACATTTGATGTATGGGAGCTCCCTTAAATATTAATTTTATTCTATTGTTGTTGAAGCAGCAACAGAAATACATCATCTATGAAAAATTCAACTGTCTAATTTTCACAGTTCATGAGATAAAGCCTGGTGACAGACAGACAGTGAAGTCTTAGTAATAGGGTTGTTGTTTTACTTGAAAAGTCATTACCCTATGTGGATGAAGTCACACAGATAGTATGTGTCAAACTTACCTCTGCAGTTTCAGTGCCATCTTTCCCAAAAACTACCCAAGCATGATCTTCTGATAACGCAAGGTGGACATCATGTTTGCCTAGAACTTGACAGCCTGCAGTCACAGCAAATGCCACACCAAAACAATCTAGTTTATTACCAGTCAAAAAACTGTAGATGGACTGTAGATGCGCACGATCTTTGTAATAACTGCGTGTCAGGGAATTCCATACTATATCAGCAACGCGTTTAACCAAATCTCTGGTAGCAAATTCCCCACATAACAATTTATTCTCAACCCCTCCTCGCATCAAAGTTACGAATCTCTCATTTAATGACCTTACTTCATCCCATTCAAGAGACGGAAATTTCATCTTAACAAATTTTTTTGTAGATAGATTCACATCTTTGTCGCTGTTTTTAATGTTTGTAAGGTTATTCTCGACAGCGCCGACTATTATTGAAAACAAAGCTAAATCGGGTTCTTTTTCACTACGCAATTGCTCATCAAATAAATCACAAACTTTCTGAATGCTGTCAATAGGAAATAAATGTTTAAATTCAGTATTTCCACTCATATTCAATAAATAAATTTAAGATACATTTTCATTAAACCGATAGCGATAATATCAAAGAGTAAGAAAGTTTAGTAACAGGCAAAGATTACAATATTATACTAACAGGGAAGTAATATGTTGTTAATATCATAGACAAATACACAAATATTTTTCTATACAACGTAGTGTAGTGACTATATTTTTTCTCTTTGATAAGTTAACAGACCAACCGTTACTTACATGCTCGCAAAAGTATTTTCTGCGTAGCTGTTCATGCAAAATATTTTAAGTGATTCTCTAGTTATTTAAACTTATTGAGTTTTTTTGTATAAAAAAAAAGCTTTTTTATTTTCAATGTTTCAAAAAAATGAAGCTACAAAATGAGGAAGTTGAAAAAAATCATTAGTTCCCGAAACCAAACTAGATGTTGCTACAGTTCGTTCTTGATTTCTCCATGACAATCCTTCCGGTTTTCTTTCAAGTTTAAAAGTAAATTAGTTTTCAAAACTCAATATTTTCTATTTATACTTTTTTGTATTTATTTTGATATCTAAAATTTCGAACTTTTCAAATTTCAGTTTTTTAATATGTTAGGTAAAAGGAGCGGAAATGACTGTTTTTGGTCTATTCGTTTCCTGTAAAAATTAACTTTTGCTAGAGTCGCCATCTAGTGGAGGTGCTTTTTGAGTGCTTTCAATTTTTTTAAACACTTCCGCATTAAGAGCGAATGATAATAAATGAATTCCTTTTAACTAAGATATTAAAAAACTGAAATTTGAAAACTTCGAAACTTAGATATCAACACAAATACGAAAAAGTACAAAAATAGAATATAAGTTGTTGATTGAGTTTTGAAAACTAATTATAAATATTCCTTGCCTTTATACCTCTTATATAAAAAGTACCACATAGAATATATTGGTTTAGTTTTATTTACTTCACTATACAGTATTAAACTCAACACGTTGTATTGCTGTTTTGCCTAAATTGCAAAAAATATGGCACAGAAAAAATATGAATTTTTAATTATATTGTGTACAAAAATATGGCACACAATATAATTAAAAATTCATTTTACCCATTTAAATTCCAATTATTCGTTTCTAAGCTTTTCACAAATAACAACTTTCGTAAACCTGTTAGATCTTGTTTGATATGTCTAAAAAGTAAACGGCGATATAATATTGTTACGACTTTAGTAATTTAATAAAATTACAAAATCTCAAACTCCATTATTTACGTCACTAGGTATCGCTTTATAAAGAATGAAACGAGTTGGTATGATCTTACTTTGCTAACATATTCACTCTGTTTCCATTGATTAATTGTTTGTTCACAGCTGAATACCGGTAAAACCTTTTTGAAAAAAAAAATGTAATGAATACCTCCTCATTACACGTTTTTTAGTTCCCTTTTTAAGAAAAAAAGAAAGTACTAAAAAGCAACTCACTAGATGGAAACTCTAACAAAAGTTGATTTTTGCAAGAAACGAATGGAATAAATATAGTTATTCCCGTTCCTTTTAATTGATACCCGATGGTAAAACGGGTATAGAGAAAGATCTTAAACCAAGAAGGAGGTCTCTCTCAACATTAATAAACGTATTAAAAAAACCGAAATTGCAAAGTTACGTATTTTATTGAATTAAATTTAAAAATATTTTACTTAACGGAGTATCTTGGTCCTCAGATAAAATATCTATAAATATATGTTTTGTTCTGTGGCTTTATCCTTTGGTCCACTTGATAGCGCTCAGTCTCTCGAGTCTCGTGTCTAAAAAAAGTATGGTATTGTTTGAACTATTTGCGTACAGTACCAAATATGCCTCGTTTCACTGAGAACTAGTTTTTCCACTGTTTTTTTATCGGTGATCTCTCGTTTTCTAGTTTCTTGAGGTTGGCAACACTGTACCTACTATGTATGTTGGCAACATACATAGTAGGTATCTCTTATTGGTCTGTGGCCATAACTAAAAAAAAAGTTTCAAGTTGAACGTGAATTTATCTTATATCAAAAAACTGATTAAGTACTAAATAAAATATGCTATCCTTACAAAAGATCGATAATAAACGTAACTGTACATAATTTGTTGAGTAATGTCGAATTTCGTGATACCTGTAGATCGAGTTGTTGATTTGGTAAAGAATTTGCTTGATGGCACTCGTTGCCCTATTTGGTAGGCATTGTGAAATATTTCAATTGAGAACTTGTAATTCTAGAGTAATCTAACTAGTTTAACCGATGTGAATTCTGGTTTTTGTTTTAGTGATACGTCAGTTGGTAACCGTATCAGGTATCCTTGCGGGCACATTGGATGTACTGATTGCGTGACAGAGGGTTGTACACTTTGTCTTACGCCACCAATCGCTTCGGCTGCTATAAATACCGTTGATGAGCCTTTCACGAAACGTGTCAAAAATGCTAATAGCCTGTTAAATATTTGTCAGGAGACATTTAACGTTGATGGTATGAATGTATAAGTTTTATCTAATTTGCGATTTTATAGGCCAATATTTTAAAAGAAAAATACAAAATATGCAAAGATAAAAAGGTAAAGCCCTAAAATTTTACTCTAAAAAGTTTATTTTCTCTTTACAGTATATAAATATCGTAGAATCTCAGAACAATTGAAAATAGAAAAAGATTTATTCCCAGAATGTATACAAGCTCCAGTAAAATATTCTAACAAAAGAAAAAGTTTAATATCAAATGATAACAAGGAAAATTATCCACATTTATTATTTCCTGGAGAAAACGTATCACCTAAGAAGCAAATTAAAATGAAAAAGCATGGTAGTTTTCTGAATCAGTGGCTTGATGAGAATGTGACGCATTCAAGGAAAGTATTTTCTGAGTTAAATGTTAATCAACAAAGTAATATTATAAGAGATAAAAAAGTGAAAGATAATCTTGCAAGTAGTAGAAAAAGGATACAAACTTATTCACATATGAGACAATATGAAGATTCATTAACAAAAAAGAAAAAATATAAAACACAAATTTCTGAAAATAAAACTGTTCAGAAAGATAATTTACATAAAAAACAACTGCACGAAGACAGTGGTATATTTATTGATGATGAATCCATTTGTATACAAGATGGTCAAAGTGAAATAGTTGACAAAGATAAATTAGCTTTTCTTGCTGTAGAGCAAGCTGATAAGGAAGACCAAAATTCCATTTCTTTTAGATCATTGGATCACCGACAAGAAAGTAAATCTGAAGATGTTTTACAAGCTTCTAAATCAACTAATTTGCATCATCAGATCAAAGTACCCTTTTACAAAAAGAGTTATTTACTAGAAACATGTGCTGTCTGTAAGGAAACAGAATCATTTCATTATGAAAAAACATATAAGAATGTATCAGTGTCATTAGAAAGTAATGATTTCATTACCACAATAAAAATATCTGATGTTGGAAATCATCAGAAGAAATCAGTCGGCATTCAAACTGATATTAATAGTAATTGTAGTGAAGAGAAAATGGATGTAATAAATTCTACAGTGAAAAAGAATGAGACCATTTCAGATGAAATACAAATAAAAGAAAGTCAAGATATATTTATTGATGACTCTCAGTTAAATAACAGTTGTGATATAAAAAAGAAAGATAATGTTATTATTGATATTGAATCTGATTTAATATTACCCAGAAATAAAACTGTTATTATTGAAGATTCTGATAGTGATACAACTAATGAAGAATCAACTTATTTGCATGTTTCTGCAGATGTTCATGTGTCATGTGAACCACAGTAAGTGTTGCAAACATTAAAGTTAAAGCTGTTGCTGCTTGTATATATTAGGCACATTAAAAAGGTATAATAATTAAATTACCTGGCAAAGTGTTATTTTTGTGTGTTATAGCCAGAGGTCGGAATTAGGTAGAGTTATTTATGTACTTGCATCGAAATGTTGATATTAATGTGGACCTTCCCGGGATTTCTAATGGACAATCCCGTGTGGCCAACAATCTTACAACTAAATAATAATAACAGCGTCAGACAAAACAAAGATAATTAACATAAAATTTTTATTAGTTTACATTTTTTACAATACAAATTTACAATTTGAGGCATTTCCACTTTATTCTTTCGCTGTATGAAATCAGTGTAAGTACATGAATAACTCTAATTCCGACCACTGGTTATAGTAAAAATTCATCCAAAAAAAATTTGTTTTTTTCAATAATATCTCTAAAAATTACAGCAATATAACAACTTTTTCCAGTGATTATGGCATTCTCAGTGAAATTAATACTGATGAGTCAATCTGCAGATCAAGAAATAAAGTTAGAGGAGCCACTCCAGACAGCAGCAACTCTTCAGAAAAAGAAAATTGTGATCCCAATAAAATTAAAAAAATTAAAGGATTAAAAAAACCTAAAAGTACAAAAAAGATGTATGTTTAGTTGTTAAATACTTATCTTGATAAATATGAAGAAATATATATTTTATACAAGTTAATATGCCTTCATTTTTCCAATCCAACGAAAATTTCAATGACTGCTTTCTTGATGTGCAAGTTTGTATGGGCAGTGTGGTGTAATACGGCTGACCTCTGCACCGAGTACCGTTCTAAGTGATGTAGGTATTAATAGATATTATCATTAAACCTACTGTAGAACCGTAACATAACTCTTGGTCATTTTGACAAGAACTCTGTTTATAAAGTAAAAAGTATGTAAATTAAGTAATACTTAAATTCTTGATTGTTCAATAAGGTTTTATTCAGATTTTGTAGTGGTGAATTAGTAGCATGCTTCCTATAATTTTTTCGTTTTAAATTGAAACATTATAAATTCGAACAAAAGGTGAGTGTAATAAAATAGCTGCGCGATGATGATGATGATCTAAATTATAGCAGAAAAAATCTGGCCACACGATATTTTAATGCTACATGGAAGTTGCTGTTTAAAAGTATAAGGCGCACAGTAAATAATTTTTAATTTCAAATAATGTATGGGTGATAATGATTCGTAAGGGTGTAGAGTTTAGTAATTTAATATATATGCAGCTTCTTATTATTTAGCTATTTTATTTGATAATTTATATATAATACAAACTTCCCATGAGAAACCGCAGTTATATTTTATTAGAATAAAATAAAACAATGGCAAAAAATTTGTGAAAAACTAAGCACTTGACTTATCAAAGTATCAAACGAATGCAGATATGAATTAGCTTAATTATAGAAGGCCTTATTAAATTGAAAATATTTCGATTTCAATAATATGAATTTTACTAATGCGTTGATGTCTTTTCAACCACGGACTGATTATAAATGTGAAAATTGTTTTATATATATGGATATGAACTATCAGCATTTATTGGTCTAGCATTGGACATATTTCATCTTCAGCTCCAATGGCATGATCTGAATTTTGTTTCACCCAAATCACCCGGATATGTAAAAAATTAGGTCGTTTTTCATGTAGGTAATATAAAAAAAGAAATATTTAAATAAATATATTTTTTATTCACGTTGTATTATACATTAGTGACTGGATTATGTCGCTACCAGCCGCCAGCGCCACCACCGGACTTCCAGCCGCCGCCGTTGCCACCGTAACCGCCGCCGAAACCGCCACTGCCGCCGGACCAACCGCCGTGACCGCCGCCTACGATTAATTTTATACATTAATGTATCTGAATATTAGACGTTGTACAATCATGAGATAACTGTGTAATATTACATTGACGAATGCTACAGTCTACGCCATGACCTACACTTTTAATGACGCAGGAAAAAGGGGCTACACGTTATCCCTACCGTCCTAGTTCTGCCAGCTACATCTGCAGTCTTTAATATCCACCGATCAGCACTGGGCCTGCGTGGCGGGTTATGGTTCGTTTTCTCTATTTGATTTGATTCCATCCATGGGGATGGCCTGTGGCTTAGCAGGGATATCAATAGCTGGCTCAAAACTTACGTTGGCCATGAATCACATATTCGTTTTTATTATGACAATCTAAAACACTAAAACTTACCGAATCCACCACCTCCACCTCCGGAGCTGATGACTTTAACGACTCTTACTTCTGAAAAACCAATTACAGTGTGAATGTAACTCACATAAATAACATTTGTGTCCCTTTTTTGGCCACTTTAATCAATTAAAAAAAAGACTTCAAAAACATGAAAAATTATGACTGATATGAATTAGTACAAGAGTGAGTAGTTAATCCTGTTTTTAATCACTTACGTCCACCGCTACCTCCGAAGCCTCCTCCGTGACCACCTCCGAAGCCACCTCCTTGACCACCTCCGAAACTTCCTCCATGACCACCTCCGAAGCCACCTCCGTATCCACCACCTCCGCCGGACCAGCCACCGCTGCCGCCTCCTAGTTTCCAGCCACCACCACTGCTGCCGCCAAAACTGCCGCCACCCAAACCACCGCTGTATCCGCCCCCACCAATGTATCCAGCGTTAGCCGCCGCCGTCAACACTAACAAACACACGAGAACCTGGAAACAAACAAGGATTACAAATATTAGCCAACAACAGACATTACTCAAATTACTACTACTTACTTATATGTAATAGATCTGATATAATAAGGAATAAATCGTTTTCTAAATTGACCTTACCGGGTATGTAATTTAGGAAACGCGCAGAAAGCGGATAAAGTCGACATAAGAGCTACTGGGCCACGTAGGGTGTAATGATCAGTATGATTTTTTGATGATTGCCGAATATACTGTAGGTAATATTGGTACTTTTTATTAAATATAGAAAAGATGTTAAATTTGTATTAATTTTTTTTCATAAAATCTAATGTTAAGGTATTCAATTTATGTCAGCGTGAATATAAAGCTAGGTACACTGCATCGCTCTTGTTGATATTGGTTAAGGATTTAATGATTTAGTATAGAATTTAATATATTTCTCTCAGTTAACCCACCTTCATGCTGAAGTAGCACTGTAAGCACTTGTTCAGTTTTGATAGTAAATGCATTATATATGTGGGGTGTGTTCTCCCACCGCTTGCAGCGAGCGGATGCGTATCCGTCGTTGTGACGCAAAAAGCCTTGCTTCGAAGTTTTTGTTTTTATTTTCAGACCATTCATTTGGGTTGTACAGTTACAGAAGACGTTTTTTATTATTATACTTACATATTTTTCATACTAATAATACAAGAATTGTAAGTGAAAAAGAAATTATATTATTTAGATTAGATTAGAGACAAGTTATAAATATTTACAATAAAGATATTTAATTCTCTTGGTTTATTTAGTAACTTCATTACATAGTCTAAATTAAGGTTTAATAAATACGATCACTCAGCCGAAGTATTTATGAAATTCGATGATTTTTCTTAAGGTCTTGTGTTAGTTTAAAGATTGTGAAATGTTATAGATTGTTTTTATGCGTCTTAAAGTTTTTGATTTTTCTATGACTTTATATGTAATGACAACAGAATATATACCTAGGTATCATTAAAAAAATGTAAATAAGAATTTTTATTTAAATATTTCTTTCATCTAGTGGTTGAGGTAACTATCGGCTTTTCATAACATAAAGAAGGACTTTGTCTACATAACTTGTCAAAATTAATATATATATATTTATTTTATAGCTTATGGGTCCGAGATGGTTCCATTTCGAAATCGAATTAGTAGTATTGTTTTAATAACAAAACAAAATATGTTCTTCATCAGATATCATTTAATTACGATATTTCTTTATACAAAACCTGTTGGAAATAAGTCAGTCATATTAATTGCTATGTTTATTTTCACGAAAGTGCTCAGAGATACTATTTTTGCTAATTATTTTCCTTTACAAAGCTTGTAAAACAAGACATGTTTATGTGATCGATTTTAGTGAAAAGTAATAATGCATTTATTAATTAAACAAGGTTTTGAAAAAAAAAACATTGTTTCTACCTTAGATAACGATTGTGTAAGTTAATGGTGGATTGAAAAGTTCGCGGCCTAACACATAAATACTTAAACTATTTTAATGTAACTGACCTCATTCGATTAGTTTCCTCCCTGGTTGTCAAATTGTAAAATTCTATCGCAATAGCTTTAACGATATTTAAATTAGACTGAATTTTGTGAGCCTTTGTGCAGCATTTTTAAAGAATGGAGAAAATTGAGCAACGTGCGGGGTCATCAAATACCTGTTTAAAAAAACTAACTCCAAAAGAGATTCACGAAGATATGTCAACAACATTGGGGGAATCTGTTCCGTCGTATACTGTGAAAAACTGGGTTGCTCAATTTAAATGCGGACGAGAGAGTATTTAAGATGACCTTCGCTGTGGCCGGCCTATGACGTCTACAACTGAAGAAAATACCGGGAAAATCTGTGATATAATATTGACAGATCGGAGATTGACCATCAGGGAGATTGCAGACATTATTGGCATCTTGTATGAACGAACACAAAACATTATAGTCAATGAACTTGGATTTTCTAACGTTGCTGCGCGGTGGGTACCCAGATTGCTTTCAGTCGAACAAAAACGAATACGCCTCACGATTTCTCGCGACTGTTTGGAAATGTTTGAGGCTGATCCATACGATTTTTTATCCAGATTGGCAACAATGGATGAAACTTGGGTACACCAATCCACCCCAGAGACAACACAACAATCCAAGCAATGGAAAAAACGTGATGAACCGCCTCCAAAAAAGCCAAAACAATTTAGTCAGCTGGCAAGGTGATGGCGTCAGTTTTTTGGGATGCTAAGGGTGTCATCATGGTGAACCGCATCGTCTTACGTCGCTTGCGCGAAACAATCAAAGAGAAAAGGCCAGGATTACTCAGCAAGAAAGTGTTGTTCCATCAGGATAATGTACGCGTTCACAAGTCTGTTTAACCTATGGCTCAAATTCGTGATTGTGGTTTTGAGTTACTGCCCTATCCCGCCTATTCCCCTGATTTGGCACCTGTAGACTTTTATTTATTCCCAAACCTAAAAAACACCTTGGAGGTCAAAATTTTTTATCAAATGAGTAGGTCGAAGCTGCTGTGGGTGACTTTTTTGAAGGCCTTGAAGAAATTATTTTTATGACCGGCATACAGGCGTTGGAAACCAGATGAAATAAGTGCATAGAGTTAAGTGGAGATTACGTGCAAAAATAAAATTACTTTTGCTTATATTTTATATTGTTTTCTTGCTGAGTCCGTTCGAGAAATGTTCCAAATTAAATAGCAAGTTGCAGTTCTTCAGACTGCATTGGATTGGACATATTTCTTCTTCAGTGCTCTTAAGCGTGATCTGAATATTGTTTTATATCACCCGGATATTTCAAAACATCAGGTAATCATTTGTGTAGGTACAATAAAAAAAAACATTATGATAAATATTTTTTTATTAAGATAACTAATATAATAGGGGCTGGATAATATCGCTACCAGCCGCCAGCACCGCCACCAGACTTCCAGCCGCCGCCAATGCCGCCGTAACCGCCGCTGGAACCACCATTGAAACCGCCATTGCCGCCGGACCAGCCGCCGTGACCGCCGCCTATAGTTAATTTTATACATGTGATTAAATTGGCGGCGTTGTACTGTTTAATATTCTATTGATGACTGTTACAAAGTTCACACCCCGATCTACACTTGGCCTAGGAACGATAAAATGAGTTACGCACTTTAACGTACCACATACGTTGTATCGTTTATTTTGTCCTAGGTTCCCATCCAAACTTTTTGTCTCTGATTTTTAAGATCGTTTCTTCTAATTCGATTATCTTATTTTAATTTTTTTCTTATTACCTATTAAGAAAATCTCAGATACGGGGGTTTGTAATTATATGTTTTTATTAATAATTATCCTAGTTTATTTAATCGTGAATCCCATAACGAACTGTTTTTTTATATTATTTTCATTTTGTTCTTATAGTTTTTCTTTTTACCTCAATTATACTTGTCAAACCTACTCAGCCTTTTCATTTGACTACAATCACTAAGCTAGCGCGGAGCCCGTTTCAGATCTATTTCTTTCATCCCGTTGGCCAACTGCATCTGCATTCGTGAACGTCCACTAATCGGCACTCTGTGACAGGTTAAGGCCCATATTCCTTATTTGATTCGATTCCATCCATAGGGAAGGCTAGTGACCCATCAGTAAGGACACTCATAGACTGGCCCAAACCTGCGTTGGCCACGGGTCATATAATTTAATTAGAAACAAGAGAAAATAAAATATTGTATTTAGATTAGGAAATATTTCGCTAAAAGACATATTTTATTCGTGACGATGTAAGTGGAAAAATAATATACTAAAACTCACCGAATCCACCACCTCCACCGCCGGAGCTGATGACTTTGACGACTCTCACTTCTGAAAAACAAAGTATGAATGTAACTCACATATGTAAATAGCATTTGTGTCCCTCTCTTGGCCACTTTAATCAAATAAAAAAAGACTTCAAATACGTGAAAAGTTATGACTGATATGAATTAGTACAAGAGTGAGTAGTTAACCCTGTTTTTAATAACTTACGTCCACCGCTACCTCCGAAGCCTCCTCCGTGACCACCTCCGAAGCCACCTCCTTGACCACCTCCGAAACTTCCTCCATGACCACTCCCTAAGCCACCTCCGTATCCACCACCTCCGCCGGACCAGCCACCGCTGCCGCCTCCTAGTTGCCAGCCACCACCATTGCTACCGCCAAAACTGCCGCCACCCAAACCACCGCTGTATCCACCCCCACCAATGTATCCAGCGTTAGCCGCCGCCGCAAACACCAACAAACACACGAGAACCTGGAAACAATCAATGATTACAAATACTAGCCAACAACAGACATTACTCAAATTACTACTACTTACTTATATGTAATAGATCTGAGATAATAAGGAATAAATCGTTTTCTAAATTGACCTTACCGGGAATGTAATTTAGGAACGCGACAGAAAGCGGATAAAGTCGACATAAGAGCTACTGGGCCACGTAGGGTGTAATGATCAGTATGATTTTTTGATGATTGCCGAATATATGTACGAAATATTGGTACTTTTTATTAAATAGAGAAAAGATGTTACATTTCTATTAATTTTTATTTTATAAATTCTAATGTTAAGGTATTCAATTCATGTCAGCGTCAATATAAAGCTAGGTACACTGCATCGCTCTTGTTGATATTGGTTAAGGATTTAATGATTTAGTATAGAATTTAATATATTTCTCTCAGTTAACCCACCTTCATGCTGAAGTAGCACTGTAAGCACTTGTTCAGTTTTGATAGTAAATGCATTATATATGTGGGGTGTGTTCTCCCACCGCTTGCAGCGAGCGGATGCGTATCCGTCGTTGTGACGCAAAAAGCCTTGCTTCGAAGTTTTTGTTTTTATTTTCAGACCATTCATTTGGGTTGTACAGTTACTGAAGACGTTTTTTATTATTATTATACTTACATATTTTTCATACTAATAATTTATTATACATTAAACATACAACAAGAATCGTAAGTGAAAAAGAAATTCTATTATTTAGATTACCTTAATCGCAAGTTATAAATATTTACAATAAAGATATTTAATTCTCTTGGTTTATTTAGTAACTTCATTACATAGTCTAAATATAGATTGAAATAAATACGCTCACTCAGCCGAAGTATTAATGAAATTCGATGAGTCTTGTTAAGGTCTTGTGTTAGTTTAAAGATTGTGAAATGTTATAGATTGTTTTTATGCGTCTTAAAGTTCCCAATTTCTTCGGGACTTGCGTATTTAGATTTATCTATGACTTTATATGTAATGACAACAGAATATATACCTAGGTATCATTAAAAAAACGTTAATAAGAATTGTTATTTAAATATTTCTTTCATCTAGTGGTTGAGGTAACTATCGGCTTTTTATAACATTAAGAAGGACTTTGTCTACATAACTTGTCAAAATTAATATATATATATATATGAAACTATTTTGAAACTAACTATAACTATATGAATAACAACATTTATTTCAATGATTTTAATCATACCAATGTTTGATAAGGTTTAATTGTTTTAATGAAGGTCCAATTAATTATGTCAGTTATTTACTTACAATAAAGTTAAAAGTAGACCTTGTATTTTGACAGCTTAATAACTTATAAACGTATTAGTACTAATTTTACCTCTAAACATTAAAATGTTATATTAATAAGTTAATATTGAATTTTTTTCGCATTTATTTTTTGCTAGTGTAAAATAGTTGTTTCATTTTCATGAACAGCATTGTTATAGCACACTCAACAACATTGCTGAGTTCAGTTCCAAATGTTATTAACTTATTAATGGAAAGCGAAAGGTTTTATATCAATAAAATCAAAAGAAGAAAAGGCGAATTTTTCTGTCGGATGAGCGTAAAGCGTCAGTTATATATAGTTCTATCTGCCCCGTGCCCCTTGTCACCGTGTTACATTTCAGCAACAGGTGGGTTGGTCCTTATATAACCAGTCCTATACTAAGTTTAAGAAACCAATATGTGTGGCGACACGCTGAGCGGGCAGGCATAAATGAAAGCGGCTGGTAATATTATACCTTTTTCTTTTTAACATACTTCAAAATCGAAAAAGAGGAGTTTCTATGTTCGACTGCGATATTTTAAACACTGCAACATTTATATATCTTCCAGCGGTTTCGCGAATTGTTGACCGATTTTTAAAATTATTCTTTTATTTTATAGCTTATGGGTCCGAGATGGTTCCATTTCGAAATCGAATTAGTAGTGTTGTTTTAATAACAAACAAAATATGTTCTTCATCAGATATCATTTAATTACGATATTTCTTTGTACAAAACCTGTTGGAAATAAGTCAGTCATCTTAATTGCTATGTTTATTTTCACGAAAGTGCTCAGAGATATTATTTTTGCTTATTATTTTCCTTTTAAAAGGTTTTAAATCAAGACATGTTTATGTGATCGATTTTAGTGAAAAGTAAAACTGCATTCGTTCATGAAACAAGGTTTTGAAAAAAAAAAAATGTTTCTACCTGAGATAACGATTGTGTAGTTTAGGGTGGATTGAAAAGTTCGCGGCTCAGCACATATATAGTTAAACTATTTTAATGTTACTAACCTCATTCGATTAAATTGAGCAACCTGCGGTCATCAAATACCTGTTTAAAAAAAACTAACTCCAAGAGAGATTCACGAAGATATGTCAACAACATTGGGGTTATCTGCTCCGTCGTATACGACTGTGAAATAGTGGGTTGCTGAATTTAAACGCGGACGAGAGAGTATTGAAGATGACCCTCGCTCTGGCCGGCCTATGACGTCTACGACTGAAGAAAACGTCAGAAAAATCTGAGATCTGGTATTGACAGATCGAAGTTTGACCATAAGGGAGATTGTAGACATTATCGGTATTGACATATCGGAGTTTGACCATCAGGGAGATTGTAGACATTATTGGCATCTCGTATGAACGAACACAAAACATCATATTTTTAAACTCACACGATTTGTATACATTATAATTATATGCAATCGGGTCTTGTTCGTGCATTTTTTAAAACAATTAATTTACCTCGACGTTTCGGCTACGTTACAGCAGCCGTGGTATAATGCACGAACAAGACCCGATTGCATATAATTACAAAACATCATAATCAATGAACTTGGATTTTCTAAGTTTTCTGCGCGGTGGGTACCCAGATTGCTTTCAGTCTAACAAAAACGAATACGCCTCACGATTTCTGTGAGGTGTAACGAATTCGTTTGGAACGTTTGGGCGTATTCGTTTGGAACTGCGACTGTTTGGAAATGTTTTAGGCTGATCCACACGATTTTTTATCCAGATTTGTAACAATGGATGAAACTTGGGTACACCACTCCACCCCAGAGTCAAAACAACAATCCAAGCAGTGGAAAAAACGTGATGAACCGACTCCAATAAAAGCCAAAACAATTTTGCCAGCTGGCAAGATGATCGCGTCAGTTTTTTGGGATGCTAAGGGTGTCATCATGGTGGACTACCTTGAAAAGGTGAAACTATAAACTCGGCTTATTACTGCACCCTCTTACGTCGCTTGCGCGAAACAATCAAAGAGAAAAGGCCAGGATTACTCAGCAAGTAAGTGTCAATAAGGATAATGTACGTGTTCACAAGTCTGTTTAACCTATGGCTCAAATTCGTGATTGTGGCTTTGAGTTACTGCCCTTTCCCGCCTATTCCCCTGATTTGGCAACCGTAGACTTTCATTTATTCCCAAACCTAAAAAACACCTTGGAGGTCAAAAATTTTCATCAAATGAGTAGGTCGAAGCTGCTGTGGGTGACTTTTTTGAAGGCCTTGAAGAAATTATTTTTATGACCGGCATACAGGCTTTGGAAACCAGATGGAAGAAGTGCATAGAGTTAAGCGGAGATTACGTGGAAAAATAAAATTACTTTTGCTTATATTTCATATTGTTTTCTTACTGAGTTCGTTCGAGAAACGTTCCAAATTAAATAGCAAGTTGCAATTCTTTAGACTGCATTGGACTGGACATATTTCTTCTTCAGTGCTCTTAAGCGTGATTTGAATATTTTTTTATATCACTCGGATATTTCAAAACGTCAGGTAGTAATTTGTGTAGGTAACATAAAAAAAACATTATGATAAATATTTTTTTATTAAGATAACTAATACAATAGGGGCTGGATAATATCGCTACCAGCCGCCAGCACCGCCACCAGACTTCCAGCCGCCGCCAATGCCGCCGTAACCGCCGCCGGAACCACCATTGAAACCGCCGTTGCCGCCGGACCAGCCGCCGTGACCACCGCCTACAGTTTTTTTTTTTTTTTTTTTTAATTTATTGTCCAAAAATATACAATTTTTTTTTTGCATGCAAAAGTACATCATAAGCGCACAAAAGCCCTTTCGGGTTTATCAGTGCCCGTGGAGTTCAAATACAACGTTCCTAAAATAATTACAATAATTTATCAAGGTATATTAGATAGTTACATAACGTTATTTTTATTATTTAACAATGCAATTGACATAAGGTATTTCAAGCAAGTTAATCTTACTTAGCAATAGATGAGAACATAATTTTATATAATGTAATCATTCTTACTTTTATCAAGAAAGTATTTTTTCAGATATTTTTTATAATTACGCTTATTCAGATAATAAGATACAGATTCATCAGTCATTTCATTCAATATCGCCGGTAACAAATATTTCCAATTTCTTTTTCCATAATAGTTATTAAATTTAGGTAACACATATTTCTTTGATTTTTGTAACTTTCTCAATGTCTTTGGTCGAGTATAGGCAATCAATTCATTGCTATTGTGATGTTCATCAATCAATATGGCGAGCCTCACACTATTATATATTGGCAAGACCCCACAATAATTAAATAAATCTAAATCATTTAAAAAGTTTGTTTTTATTTTTTTCGGAACTATTAACTTTAGTAATTTTAACTGTAGGTTATAGATATTAATCAAGTGTGTTTTGAACGTTCTTCCATAACTACTTAACCCATATCCGATCACACTGTTAGCCAAGGCCATATATAAAGTTCTCAAGGTCATTTTATACAATTTACAACAAAGTTAATTTTATACAAGTGATTAAATTGGAGACGTTGTACTGTTTAATATTCTATTGATGATTGTTACAAAGTTCACACTCCGATCTACACTTGGCCTAGGAACGATACACTTTTTTGGCCTAGGAAAAATGAGTTACGCACTTTAACGTACCACTTACGTCGTATCGTTTATTTTGTCCTAGGTTCCCATCCAAACTTTTTGTCTCTGATTTTTAAGATCGTTTCATTCAATTCGATTATCTTATTTTAATTTTTTTCTTATTACCTACTAAAAAATCTCAGATACTGGGACTTCTAATTATGTGTTTTTATTCATAATTATCCTAGTTTATTTAGTCGTGAATCCCATAACGAACTTTTTTTTATATTATTTTCATTTTGTTGTTATACTTTTTCTTTTTACCTCAATTATACTTGTCAAACCTACTCAGCCTTTTCATTTGACTACAATCACTAAGCTAGCGCGGAGCCCGTTTCAGATCTATTTCTTTCATCCCGTTGGCCAACTGCATCTGCATTCGTGAACGTCCACTAATTGGCACTGGTCCTCTGTGACAGGTTAAGGCCCATATTCCTTATTTGATTCGATTCCATCCATAGGGAAGGCTAGTGACCCAGCAGTAAGGACACTCATAGACTGGCCCAAACCTGCGTTGGCCACGGGTCAT